TCTCTATGGTGAACACAAATGTAGATACTTATATATAATGTGTGTATTAGTGTAATAACAGCAAAAGGATTATGCTGGAAGGAGCCATTTGGGTGACGGAGGTGACGTCGTCTGCACGATTTGTCTAGCTGTTTAGAGGGTGGCCACTATGCTCTTTGGGCGCACTACAAGCTTAGGTGTACAGTTACAGTGCATACAACATGTAGATACTTACATATAATATGTGTATATAGGGTAATAACACTGCAAACAGTATTGTTGGGGGAGAAAGTTTAGTGCATGTGACCTTGAATGAGTGAGGGAGCCGCCAGCTGTGTATAGCGACGACTCTTAGTGTCTGAACTAACTATATCAGCTTAGCTGTACAGTTGTGGTGAACAAAATATATACATACTTATATATAACGTCTGTATATAATGTAATAATACCACAAATGGTATTGTTGGGGGAGAAAGTTTAGTGCGTGTGTTGAGGGAGTGGCAGCGAGTGGCTGGCTGGTGTGTGGCGGTAACTCTTCGTTGCTTTTCGACTCTCAATACCAACTTAATGGTTCGTTATGTTGAACAAAACATGCAGATACTTATATATAACCTGTGTATAGAGTGTAATAGCAGCAAAACTATTTGTTTATTGTTTTATGAACATAATAATTGAATCACTAATATGCACACCATACTTTTGAGTATAGCGATTATTCACCACTTTTATTATATAAATGTATTACAATACACACTATTGAATAATATTACTGCAAAAAAACTAAGAAAAATCAATCGGAAACATTGAAACAATTAGGTAATAATATCTTTGTGGCAACTCCTGCCTTGTCAGTGCGGGTGAGGCTGACCGGCTCTGACGACCGCCCTATCAACGCCCACTTTTTGCCAGACTTCCTTGGTCAATTGCTCCCAAAATATGTCGTCTACGATTTTTTTTTATTTTCCCGTGCTCAGGGGACACAAATTAACATGTTTAGACGACTAAAAAAAAAATTTGAATTTTTTTTTTCTTGCGCACAGGGGTAATTACCTAAGTATAGTTACAGGATGAGAGCTACGCTCGTGGTGTCCCGTCTTCCCAGCACTCTTTGTCATATAACGCTTTGAAACTACTGACGGTCTTGGCCTCCACCACCTTCTCCCCTAACTTGTTCCAACCGTCTACCACTCTGTTTGCGAAAGTGAATTTTCTTATATTTCTTTGGCATCTGTGATTAGCTAGTTTATATCTGACCTCTTGTTCTTAAAGTTCCAGGTCTCAGGAAATCTTCCCTATCGATTTTATCAATTCCTGTTACTATTTTGTATGTAGTGATCATATCACCTCTTTTTCTTCTGTCTTCTAGTTTTGGCATATTTAATGCCTCTAACCTCTCCTCGTAGCTCTTGCCCTTCAGTTCTGGGAGCCACTTAGTAGCATGTCTTTGCACCTTTTCCAGTTTGTTGATGTGCTTCTTAAGATATGGGCACCACACAACTGCTGCATATTCTAGCTTTGGCCTAACAAAAGTCGTGAACAATTTCTTTAGTATATCGCCATCCATGTATTTAAAAGCAATTCTAAAGTTAGAAAGCATGGCATAGGCTCCTCGCACAATATTCTTTATGTGGTCCTCAGGTGATTTTTTTTTTTTTTTTTTTGAGATATATACAAGAGTTGTTACATTCTTGTTCAGCCACTAGTACGCGTAGCGTTTCGGGCAGGTCCCTGGAATACGATCCCCTGCCGCGAAGAATCGTTTTTTCATCCAAGTACACATTTTACTGTTGCCTTAACTGTAGCCTCTGTTTAACGCAACAGTAAAATGTGTACTTGGATGAAATTACGATTCCTCGCTGCAGGGGATCGTATTCCAAGGACCTGCCCGAAACGCTACGCATACTAGTGGCTGTACAAAAATGTAACAACTCTTGTATATATCTCAAAAAAAAAAAAAAAAAAAAAAAAAAAACTCACCTGAGGACCACATAAAGAATATTGTGCGAGGAGCCTATGCCACGCTTTCTAACTTTAGAATTGCTTTTAAATACATGGACGGCGATTTCTATCTACAACCACCCCTAGATCTCTTTCTTTATCAGAATTCTTTAACCCTTAACATGCTCGGGGTTTAATATCCTGTCATCCCCACAGGCGCATGTCATTTTGAAAAAAAAAAAATTCTTTTTTCTTTCTAACCTGTTAATTTGTGTTCACTGATCACGGGAAAAATAATAAAAAAATCGTAAGTGGCATATATTGTCCGCTATAGGGCGGGGAAGTCTGGCAAATTATAGGCGCTGACTCAGCGTGCGTCCCAGGCGGTCTGTTGCTCGCAAGCTGTCAGGCCAGAGTTGCCACAAAGAGATAATTACCGAATTATTTCAATGTCTCTGATTGATTTTTCATACTTTTTTTGCTGTAATATTATTCAATAGTGTGTAGTTTGATATATTTATATAATAAAATGAGTGAATCGTTGGTGTACTCAAAAATATGGTGTGCATATTGTTGATTCAATTATGTTCATCAATCAGTGAACAAATACTTTGTCGGTTATTACACTATAAGCACAGGTTACATATAAGTATTTGCATGTTTTGTTCACTATAACGAACCACTAAGTAGCTATTATGAGTCAAAAAGTAATGAGGAGTGACCGCCGTGTACCAGCCAGCCACTCCCGCCCTCCCTCCAGTCATCTGACTCACCCTCATTCTCCTCCCACAATAATGTTTTTGCTATAATTCACTATATACAGACGTTATATATAAGTATCTACATGTTTTGTTCACCATAACTGTACATCTAAGCTTGTATGGTGAGTAAAGGCACAGAGATGTGGCTACTCACAGTCAGCTGATCGGTGGCCGCCCTCAAGGTCAGACGCACTAATATTTCTCCTCCAACAATACTGTGTGGTGTTATTACGCTATATATCTTATATACAGACATTATATATAAGTATCTACACGTTTTGTTCATCATAACTGTACATCTAAGCTTGTATGGTGAGTAAAGGCACAGAGATGTGGCTACTCACACAGTCAGCTGATCGGCGGCCGCCCTCAAGGCCAGACGCACTAATATTTCTCCTCCAACAATACTGTGTGGTGTTATTACGCTATATACACACATTATATATAAATATCTACCTGTTTTATTCATCATACTTGTACAAATAAACTGGTATGGTGCCCAAAGACCATCGTGGTAACCAGTAAACAACACCGTCGTCTGCACGGTGGCGTCGTGCAGACGACGCCACCGCCCTCACCAAAATGGCAGCTCCAAACCTTCTCTTGCTGTTTATACCCTCTATACGCACGTTATATATAAGTATCTACATTTGTGTTCACCATAGCGAACCACTAAGCTGGTATGGTGAGTGCAGTCAATAAAAGGTGGCCACACACAGTCAAAAGACATCGCCACCACCCTCCCTCCCACAGCATTACACCTCCTTCCATGGCGCACAGCGCTAAATATCACCACAATCCTGCTATTATCAGAACCCTGGTCAGTTTTATCACAGTCAGGGGACTTCTGTAATAATATCATCGCTACATAATAGCATGAACAAGTATAATTTGGCATTTTTAGGCGATGCTGTGGTCACAAGCTGAACAGCAGTGCTGTTAGCTCATGCTGCGTGCGTCAGGCTTGGTTGCTCACTCAATACTGAGGCCAATAACACCCGGGAGTTTGGCCCACGATTTTTTTTAAAAATGGCGTCTGTTTACAAGAGCCCTGATGAAGGTGTGGTGAACCCCGTGTATCCGCGGGCTGTTTAAATCTTGCGTAGTACTCCAACACATCATACGACGTGATGCGCAGTTTACTGGAACAACGTCCAGCACGTCATATGACGTGATGCGCACTTTAAGGGTTAAAGGTTTCTCACATAATATATAGGTTGTGTGGGGTCTATGCTCTTCTATTCCACATTCCATAACATGGCATTTATTAACATTAAATTCCATTTGCCAAGTGGTGCTCCATGTACTTATTTTGTCCAGGTCTTCCTGAAGGGCATGACAATCATCTAAGTTTCTTATCCTTCCTATTATCTTAGCATCATCAGCAAACATGTTCATATAATTCTGTATACCAACTGGTAGATCATTTATGTAGACAATAAACATCACTGGTGCAAGAACTGAACCCTGTGGTACTCCACTTATGACATTTCTCCAATCCGATACATTGCCTCTGATCACAGCCCTCATTTTTCTATCAGTCAGAAAATTTTTCATCCATATTAGAAGCGTACCTGTTACTCCTCCAATATTTTCCAGTTTCCAGAACAACCTCTTATGTGGAACTCTGTTGAAAGCCTTTTTAGGGTGTAAATGTCCTCAGGACCCCTGAGCAGTGGGAAGGCTTAAGCAGTGAGAGTGAGTGTATGGGATGTATGGGGTGGGGGAGGTATGTCGGTGGTGAGGGAGTGATCGGTTTACTCCGATAAGCCTAACACACTTGACCCCGTTAGCCAGATTTGTTTCTTAAATTCTGGATGTACATCATCATAGATATTTTTGGTTACAGATTTTGTTTAGTAATATTATAAGGATAATAAAAAGCTATACAAATACTTATTTCATGAATGCTTTATTGTATTCGATGGAGATTCTCTGGCTGGCAATCTACTAAGCTAGCCACTTTGGGAGGGAGGGCAGCAGCAGAGAGGGTGTACTTGCCTAGTTGTGCTTGCAGGGTTGAGCTCTGGCTCTTTGGTCCCACCTCTCCTGAGGGAGAAGTGGATTAGGACTTCTTTAATTAGTGAGTGCAAACAAAATACTGTTGCATTTAATAATCTGAACCTGTCGATTTTTTCCCTTAGATTTTTCCTTTTATCTCTCCATTTTCCTCCATTTCTCCTTTACGAACTTACACGATAACCGATGGGTTTTGTCCCCAAGGGGTTCGGAAACCAAGTGATGCTCTGTACCAGATTTTTTAAATTTTTACAATATAAGGCTAGTAAATATATTTAACTTGTGTAATCTTATCCTATACAGATGGTCAACCTGCGGATTGGAAGGACAGTTCAACGTTCCTATATTGGTCGCAGATCTGGATGTTCACAGCCTGTTATTGTGGCCTTATTTCTCATATCGGTCTTTATCTTCGTTTTCTTTCAAATGGCTAACATGATCCCACGCAAACCAGGTAAGTGTTTAAGTGTTCTCTTGATAACTTCTAAAGATCTTGATAAAGTATGATTAGATTTCTCTTTCTTATGATGCGACTGTCATCAGAGGTACTACTCTGCATCTGAAAAAAAAATTAACCTCAAATATTAGTGTTATTTTCTGTAGAGAGCCCCTTCGGCTCCCCGGAGCTATTCCAGGCTGATGTGTATATATTAGACCGTGACAACAGTCAGTCGAAGGAGTTCTAAGCCTACCGGGGACCAGAGCCAGAACCTGGCCCCCTTAAGAGAGGCACGAGGAGCAATGGCCTAAAGACACCACCGTGTAATTGGAAGCAGTCTTTGTCTGCCATCTACCAGGTCAGGCACCCAGGAAGGTAGGAATTTCAAAACAAACTACTGCTGATGAAAAAATTGCAAACCGAAAGTCGAACTAGCAAATAGAACTCCCCAATCAAAAACAAGGAAACAAACATGACGTCACCACAACTGCCGTGCATCCGTCTGCGCAACCGGCCCCCTTCCCTGGGAGGGGGACAGGGAGGGGTCCCAGACCTCCACACCGGCAACTCTCCTCAGTTCAAGAGGCTGTTGTGTTGGTGACGGTCGATCGCTCTGGCTCCACTCTTTGCGCAGTGCTGTTGCTCTGTTTTGGTGGCATGTGAGCCAGAAGTAACACAAGAGTACTGGGGCAGGATGCACCAAGGGCTACTTTCCATAGGTGCCCCGTAAGTACTGCCTTTGCGGCCTCAGGGTTATCTTCCATGAGCCGTTCAGCAGCAGCTACCTCCGTGTGGTTCTGTCGCTGCTCGGTGATTGCCTGGCCTTGGGGGGTTCAGCTGGGGAGGTTCTTACTCCTTCCTGTTTGCCCTTGGGTAGGAGGTAGTTTCGTCGCTGGCTGGGCCGCGAGGTACTGTGCATATGTCTGATATATGCATAAGGACCGGTTCTGTTCACCTGGAGACGTGCTTTTGCGGGGGTTTTGTTTTGTTTTTGTTTTGATTTGCCTGGCAGGGGTCTGCCTGGTGTGGCGGTAGGACCACTAGTAGGGTTTGGGTGGCCCTCCACTTGGTCCCTGTGCTTGCACACGTCGCAGGGGTTCAGCTTTTAATTGTTTGCTTGGTAGCTCTGGGATAACCGGTTAGCAGTACCTCGCCTGGGCTTCCCTTAGCAGTCAGCTTAAATGCCCTGGAAACCCCCTTTCTGACTCAGTGGTCCAATATAGGAGACATCAGAGTCCCACCTCGCCTTGTGTGAGTTTGAAGGTTGCGCTGTCCCCCTTGTCTCAGGGTGACATTCACCGTCTGCCTCCGCCTTGCTGCCTGTTGGGGTCAGTGACACCTTTGACCCGGAGTCCTGCGAGAGGTGTTCTTTACTTGTACTCCATTCACCCAGTCCACTGAGGCTGATATTCGGGTGCAGGCAGCTTTAGCGTTGCATGCGAGGGAGGTTTAGGTTGTAGCAACGTGTGAGGTTGGTTGCCTTTCCGGATGCCCCGCAGCTGCCCCCCCTGAATTATACTGGTAGTGAGACTCGGACGGCTTCGGGGATTGCCCTTTACGGATCGGCGGCGGAGGCATTCAAGCCTGGTCTTCCTGCCGGAGCTTTTGGGCCATGCCAGCGGGCCCCCTTCATCCCTGCTTTTCCAGTGGATTCTGCTTTTTCTCCAGAGGCAGAGGGTTTCGGGGATGGCTTGGCCCCGGGTCCTGATGTGGAGGTTTCCGGGGCTAGGAAGGAGTTGACTGGGGGGGGGGGGGCGCCTCGGCCCCACTTGTCCCTGCTTGGGTGTTTGGTACCCTCGGTGCAGGGCTTGTTGTTACAGGGGGTGGAGGGGTTTTTCTATCCCCCTCCCTGTACAATTTTGTTGCAAGTTCGACTCCTCCCCGGGTTTGGTTCAGAGTTCCCTTGGGTTCTTTGGTTCCCTCCTTCTGTTTTTTTTTTTTTTTTTGCCTTCCTGCATCTCACCGAGAAAGGTGTGGGAGGCCCTTGTGGCTTACATCCTGTGAGACCCGGATTACGCCTCGATAATGAAAACCTTCTTTTGAGTTTGGCTCCTCTTTTTCCTTATTGGGTATGTTACAAGGTGCCGGAGTCTTTCTGGCTGGTAGACTGCCTTTTCTTTCAGTTGGGGGCTTGGCATTCATCCTGTCGGACTGTGCACTTGAATGGCGAGAGTTGCCTAGGGTAGTTCAGGTTTTCCTGGGGAGTGAGTTGGAGCACCTCAATGCGTGCTCGTTTGCTCCCGTCCTTTCTTATGATGTCGGCCAGGTGCGGCTTCATGTGCAGGTTCCCTCCCTTTCTGCATCCCTGGTGGCTGAGGATTTGTGTGCCCGTGGGCACTTGGCTTCGGTCTTGCGCTTCTTTCCTCTGCTGGAGTTGTCTTCGGACTGGCTCGTGGTGGGTGTGGAGGAGCTGGGTTCCGGGCCTGTGTCCGGTGTGCTTGCTTCGGTAGCTCGGGCGCCAGCTTCCTTGGTGAAGTTGTATGCGCCGTTTATGAGGGAGGCGGTGTCTGTTCTTCGCTTTATTTATTTATATATATACAAGAAGGTACATTGGGATTGTGAAGATACATAGCATAGTGATTGCATTCTTGTAAAGCCATTAGTATGCTTAGCGTTTCTGTCCAAAACGCTTCTCGTCTCCCGTGCTGATAGGCAGTGCTCGTTCATATTTTGGAATCTTCTTGAGCCCTGGCTTTTAGATTTTCATCCTCTTTTTGTCCTTTGCTGTTTGTAGAGTCTGCGGTGATGCATTTTCTGCAGGCGGCTTTGTCTTGTTGATGACCTATGTCGGACTTTGTAGGTTCTCTGGGGAGGGGGGGGGGTAGGTCCTACGCGGAAGGGTCGCTCCAGGTTTCGGGATTCTTTCGGTCATCGTAAGTCAGTAGTGCCAGATTCAGGCCTGGCCCTCAAACGGAGTCATTGGCTCAGTGATCGTTCTGCGTGTCAGTCGGGCTCTCATAGGGGTCGTCGGCCCTTTCACGGTTCACCCTGTTGGCGGAACGGTATGGGGGGGAGGCTCGCGGTGTTTGTTCTCGCCTGGTTGCACGATTTGTGAGCAATTTGGGTCATTTTCTTCCGGCCTGCGGTGACGTTGCTTCTTTCCTTCTCCTTGGGGGGGCTTGCGGGGCGGCCTCTTTCCCTGCGCTCTGTCAGGTCATCCTGGAGTGGGTTTCCCACCTGTTTTCAGTTCCAAAATGGGACTGGGCAGATCTGTGATTCATATTGGAATTGTCCTGTCTGATCCCCTGGGTCTTTTGCCCCTCCGTTCATATGACCACTCTGTCTCGGGTCTGGCTGCTTTTGGTGCCAGGTGCCTGGATGGTGTCTCTGGACCTCCGAGATGCATCTTAGCACGTCCCGTTTCATCTGGTGTTCAGGGACTGGCTCGGTTTTGTTGTGGAATGACAGATTTACTGCTTTCGTTACCTTCCTTCCAGTTTGGATCTGGCACCTCTTGTGTCCACACACCTTAACTGGGTCATGGTGACCCGTTTGAGTTCTGGCTTACCTCAACAATTGGCTGGTGTGAGCTCCCAGCCAATCCACATGTCTGCTTGCCTGGGATTTGTTTCCTTACAAGCTCGCCGGGTTTGGGTTCTTGGTGTACTGGAAGAAGTCTCATTTGGGTCCCTCTCAGGTTCAGACTGGGCTGGGTCTTGTGTGGGACTCTCGAAGACTCTCGTCTTCCTTGTGTCTCCCTCTGGCGGCATTGTTGCGGCTTCAGTCCTGCTTAAGACTGTTTTTGGAGGGCACCCAGGTCACACGTTGTTTGTTTGGGCGGCGGTGCGGGAGCCTGATCTTGGTCGTGCTGGTCTACCCATTGGGTTGGATCTGGCTTCGGCGGATGTTCTGGTTTCTTCGAGGGTGTCCCTTCCGCCGCTCTCGTGATCGCTGTGTTTCAATCCAGGGAGCCTTGCATCGACTGCTGCGCCGCCGGCTTCCCCCGAGGGTTTTTTTCAGGGTTCTATGCCCTGACACCTCCCTGAACCCTCGCTTGATGTGTTCACGGATGCCTCATCTCTCAGCTGGGGTTTTGTGACCAGGGCTCACCAGGCCGGCCAGTCAGTTAGGTTTGTCTTTCCGTCAGGCTCACAGCACAGCGCAGCGCAGAAGTTCACGGTGTTGTGGCATTCACTTCAGAGGGTTCGTGTTGCTCGTGGAGTAATGATCTGGCTCCATTCGGACTGTTTCCCAGTGGTTTATTGTCTGACCCGCAGGGGGTTCGATGCGGTCCTTGGCTCTGTGGGGCTGGTCGCTTCAGGTGACTCATTTGCCGAGTTCTCGGGGTTTGGCTCTCCTAGAGGTTCACATTCAGGGGGTGTCTAACTTCCTGGCGGATGGCCTGTCTCGGTTCATAGCCCTATCCATGGAATGGATGGTTGACACACTCCTTCAGTTGGCTCTGCCGGACATACGGGCGCCTAGAGGTGGACCTCTTCGCATCATCTTGGTTGAGGCGTCTTCCAGTGTTAGTGGCACCCTTCCCAGGCTGCGAGGCCGTCGGGGTCGATGCCTTTCAGCTGGGCTGGTCTAGTTGAGGTTACCTGTACCTCTTCCCACCAGTTCAGTTGTTGTTCTGGGTCCTGGTTAACTAAGAGAGACTTACCAGGGATGAGTAGTCCTGTTGGCTCTTAGGTGACCGGCCCAGCCCTGGTTTCAGGCACTTCTTGCTCATTGTCCGAACCCAAGGGTCTTCCCGCGGCTTCACCTCTTTTGACAGATCGGTCCGTTCTGGTATGTGGCTGGTTCGATCTTCTCTGTTTCTCGTGTCTGGTCTTTTTGACGCGGGTTTATCACCACTTGTATGGTGATCAGGTGGCTTAGTTGGTGTCCCACCTTTCGAGTTTCGTCTCGACAGCCGTATGAAATTTTCTGGCTTTCTTTTTGGCACTTGTCTTCTTGTAGGTTGTTTTGTCCTTCTCTCTTGGTTGTTTCAGGACCGTCTTCTTATGCCAGGTACTGTCTCCTCGTTTTGGGTGGCGCTGGTGGAGCCACTGCAGCTTGCATTTGGGGTG